CTGAGTACATTTCCTGATTAATGCAAAATTGTGTGCTCACATGGCAGTACTAAACGAAAATGAGCGGGTGCGACCTTGACAAAATCCACGAATAACAAACCGAATCACGTTGTTTTAATGTGGCATTGTTGGAAGTGTTAATTTTCTGCATTTCCATAAACATGCCTACCATAAGGTTCATGTATGCCGCAGTTTCGCGCGGTTTCAATTTCCGCCTGGGCAGACATAAAATTGTTTGTGTTGGCTTTATCTATTATATACGTCAAATTCTTCACAAATATTGTTGTCGATTAAGTAAAAATCGCCGCCAATCAACCAAGTTCTCCGAGAAATATTGATTAAACTGCGCAAAATGACTTAGTTGATAGCAGAAGTTTTCTATATATGTAGGTACTTATTAGTTAGCTACTACTTATTATTTTCTATATAAGGTAATTATATATGTAGGTACCCAGTATCGCAAAAACCACTTGGGTCCCTGCCTGATTGTTATTGTTATTATTGCTTCAATCGAGTGTCTTTATTCAGGTCCAGACTGAGAAGCACGAAAGCACGTACGAAAATACACCCAGCATGGGAATGGTTTTTGTCTTATCTTGCTGGTTGGTTGGTTTACAGTAGAGCAGGGTTTTTCAAACTTAGCAGACCCAGAAATTTTTACGGAACACTTGGTTTATTTTTAAGTTGACGCTACTGAACTTTATGTCGCCTAAAAAAAAGATCACCACATTTTTTTAGGTGTTAAGTGTGGGTCTTGGACATTTGCTTTGGTGAAAGCAAATGCCGCTTTGCTTTCCGCCAATCTTAGAACTTACCATGCTCCTTACCGTACACAAATGTACGGTATTAGATTACTAACTCACTTTCAGAGGAAATTTCTGGAAGTTTCCAGGATTCTTCCAGTAACTAAAGCGAGTCGACTGATCGTTGATAAACACGAGTTTTTTTTAAATTCGTCAAGGAAAAACCAAAAATTGTTGAATGCGGCCCATAGCATCACTCGAAAGAGAAAATCGGCTGCTTTAAGTGTGGGAAAATTCCCTTGAATAGAAAATTTCTGGGAGGTTCCAAGATGTTTTCAGTTACTAAGGGGAAGCGATTGGCCGTTGGATAGACATACGGATTTAAAAAAAATTGTCAAGGAAAAACCGAAAGTGTCTCAAGCCTGCCCAGAATATCACTCGAAAGAGAAAATCTGCGGGTTTAAAATTAGGAAAACCTCACTTTAATAGGAAATTTTCGGGAGGTTTCAGGTTTTTTTCAGATACTAAATCCAGTCGTTGGACAACACGGATTTTTCAAAAATTCGCCAAGGAAAAACCAAAAATTCCTTTATGCTGCCCATAACATTTTTTTTTCAAGGAGTTTTCAGGAGGTTTTTAGTTACCAAAGGAAGCGATTGGCCGTTGGTATAGACGGATTTTTTAAAAATTGTCAAGATAAAACCAAAAATCTCTCAAGTTATTCCAGAATATCACTCGAAAAAGAAAATCTCCTAAATCAGGAAAACCTCACCTTAATAGGAAATTTTTGGGAGATTTCAGGATCTTTTCAGATACTAAATCTACGCGATTGGTCGTTGGACAACACGGATTTTTCAAAAATTCGCCTAGGAAAAACCAAAAATTCCTTAAGGTTGTCCATAAGATCACTCGAAAGAGAAAATCGGCTGCTTTAAGTGAGGAAAAATTCACTTGAATAGAAAATTTCTAGGAGTTTCCAGGATGTTTTCAGTTACTAAAGGAAGCGATTGGCCGTTAGTATAGACGGATTTTTTAAAAATTGTCAAGGTGAAACCAAAAGTCTCTCAAGCTAGTCCAGAATATCACTCGAAAGAGAAAATATCCGGCTTTAAATCAGGAAAACCTCACCTTAATAGGAAATTTTTGGGAGTTTTCAGGATGTTTTCAGACACTAAATCGACCATTCGCCAAGAAAACCAAAAATTCCTTAATGCTGCCCATAACATCACTCGAAAAAGAAAATCGGCTGCTTTAAGTGACAAAAAATTCACTTGAATAGGAAATGTCGGGCAGTTTCCAGGATGTTTTCAGTTACTAAGGGGAAGCGATTGGCCGTTGGTACAGTTAGACGAATTGAAAAAAAAATCTCAAAAAAACTAAAAATCTCTCAAGCCTGTCCAGAATATCACTCGAAAGAGAAAATCTGCGGCTTTAAATAAGGAAAACCTCAGTTTAATTGTAAATTTATTATGTACGTCCAATTTTTCACAAATATTGTTGTCAATTAAGTAAAAATCGCCGACAGTCAACTAAGTTCTCCAAGAAATATTGATTAAACTGTGCAAAACGACTCCGTTGATAGCAGAAGTTTTCACTTGCGGGGCTCTGGTCCAGATGTCTCATGGCGTGAGTCAATCGAACAACTGATAAAGCATGTAAACTTGCGGTCATGGCGTACAAAGGGCATACAATGAAAGTTGGCATGCCGAGCAATCGACAGCAACCGCATTCGTTCCGCGAATCGAAGAAGTAAACAGGCATGATGGAGTTATCAGTAATTAACACGAAACCACAATTATTCATCGATGCTGCTTTGCTAATGTTCCCAACCTTGGACCTCAACGAATATTTTGTCGGGAGGTGTCTTTTAAATAGTTCTGGGGAAAATACCGGGAGATAATTATCATTGGAGAGAAAAGAAAAAATGTATTTATGCAATTAAAGTAGTTGCTATCTAGTTGCTATTGGCCAAAGCGGATACACGAGCAGCTGTAGTTATGAATATTGAGTAATTGGCAGTTTATTTAGACGATAATTTGTACGATTTATTAAACACTAGCTGAAGTAGGCAGGTAGTAGGTAGGTGCTCTTAAAGGTTTAACTGGGTAATTGCTGTTTCAACAATTAGTGGAACCCAAATTTAATTTAAAATGTTCCAAAATGTGAATGTGGTGCCGCTCAATACCAACGATAGTCTTGTATATTCATAAACAAAATAATAGCCTCTTGAGGTTCAGCGCGAAAAAATGAAGGTGCAGCTAGCTTGTTTGTTTGATTTTCATTGCAAATTCATCATTTCCTTGTACCACAGTGCTGTTGCCACGTTTCTTGCAGTAGGATTTCATCATGATTCACTTTTCCGCTTTAGAATCATTTAAGGGAAACTCCACACCAGTTAGACCCAATCTAGGGTGACTTCTTTCAATATTAAAATTGCGTTGGCCTTAAACGCTAAACGTTCTTCTGATCATGCGCAGTGTTAAAAAAATAAGGTGTGCAGGCAAAACGTTAAGTGCGTTTTTTAGTTTTTGATACCGCGTTTGTCGCTCTCTTAATAAAATAAACCTCACTTCATTGTTTTCTTATCCCGTTTTGTTTGGAAGAGTTTCAAAGCTAGTTTAAGTTTGTATTGTTATTAAACAAAAAGTGGCTAAGCTGGAAGAAAACATTGAAGCTGCCTTTCTGTGCCGGAATGACCAGGAAGATGTGGATCACGATTTAGTAAGAGGCTTAATTTTTGACCCACCTGTTGTTTCAAACCGAAAAGCTATTTTTAATTTAGAAATTATTGAGTCCAGAGATTGCCTTATCAATTTTAGGTTTCAGAAGGAACATATTCCGCGGCTGGTTCAATGTCTTTGAATACCAGAAAAAACGCATTCTTTTTCTTACCACGTCCATTTCACTATTGGTTAACGGAACGGAAAACGGAAAATAAAAATTCAAAATCGAACCTGTCCGTGTGATGTTAGTAGTATTGCCAAAGTTCAAATTTGCCCAAACAATTTTCACATAAAATCCGTAATTACGCAATAATGGCGTAAAAATTATCAAGGAAAAAATCTTATTTAAATTTACAATACATTTCTTATTCTATTATAGCCGCTTATTGTATTAATAATATTACAAGTCAAATATTCAAATTCAAATTCAAATTTATTAAACGGAAAAAATCCATGGCGAATTATAAATGCGTATAAAAATATTAAAGTACAGTAAAAATTAACAATAACAGATAAATAATCAATAAATAAATTACATGAGTACCTTCAGCTTTAGTTCGGACTTAAATGCTGCCACAGAAATATAAAAAAATGACAAATCTAAATTGTTAGCAGTCCTGCATACTCTGTCGATATTCATAAAGTGACTGTAATTGGTGTTATGAGTTGCCAAGTAACATATAGATTGACTTCTGACCGTTCTTTTAGGAACATGGAAATTCAATTTACTGCGCAAATAAGAGCAATTTATATGATAGTTAATTAATTTAAATAAAAATATCATTTCACTTTCCAATCTTCTATGTTCAAGCGTTTGAATTTCTAATTGATGTCGTAATTGTTGGTAAACCAAATCATTCAAAATGTATTCAAATATGTCAAATGTCAACATCGTCGTTCTGCTTTTGAACGTGATGATGCTTATTAACGTTACCGCTACTCGTACGTAAATAAAGGAACATGTTATCCTCTAATAACGTAAACGGTTATTTATGTACTAATGCGCATGCTCATAATAACGTATAAAGTAAAACTTGTTGCAATTAAGGGGCCTAAAAACTCCCTACTGTTCCCAACTTTCTCCGTTGACTTTGCTCTTTAGAGCCAAACTTTGCAAGCCTAAGCAGATTCCAATCTGTAGCCACTAATTGTAAAAGCAGGCGATCAGAAAGGCTATTTGTGGGTATGAAATAGTTTTTGTCTGAACTCTGGCAACAGCACTGTTTTTTAAGTTAATCGTCTTGTATAATGTGCCATGGAACAGACTAGAACCTGGTTGCCGGCTGTTGAATGGACTTGGTAAACAAGCCGGGTTGCCAAGTGATCGTGCCAAAGCGGTACCCGTTCGGCTGACTGGTACTACTAGCCGAAATGTTTTTATTTTTAGAATCGTTCGTTGTTGTTCCTTGCTGCTGCTGTTCATGCGATGTTGTATACATAATAAGAATGCTAATGGCGCCTCTTTGGGAGATGCTGGATGCTCATTTCTGGCTCTGAATCTGATCAGAAAAACAATCGGATCAACCACTGAAGCCGAGAGCTGGAATAGGAAAAGCAACTCAACTTTATGTGTAAAATCGGGATTCAGACCATCGCCGTAAATTTACGACTTGCTGGTCCATGCTGAACACTGGGTGAGATAAATGCGCATCTGGGTAGTATTTATTTGGGCGACTGTGAACACTTGTGGTGCTTTTAAAACTTACTAAGTGCGGAAGGTAGTTTCGAGTATCGCCTGTAATGCTAAATTGGCCTTTTCATTCTGAGAATTGATCTCATTTAAACGTGGTCTTTTTGGCAAATTTTCCTTATCTTCAACATTCAAGTTGCAAGTCATCACGCGTCAGGAGTCTTCTATGTGACATCCATACGCTGATTTCTTGTCTGTCGGTGGTTGGCTGGCTTTGCAAAAAACCGCAATCAAACTGGCTCTGAAGCAATGTTATTATTGCAGCCAAACAAGTCCGCTTTAACTATTGCAAAATGATAAGAGCCTATCGGGAAGAAGGTCATCGGGGTGACATAAGATTTTTAAAATATTGCCAAATGCCATCAAAACAACCCGTCAGTCATTCTGATCAGAGATGTTATTTTTCTTCACCAGAGATGGTGCAAAAGCACCACAAAGTGCACAAATTAAAAAGTGTTGTGCACAATTAAAAAGTATTAACATTTGTGCACAAATTAATAAGCACGAACCAAAAGGTTTGTGGATTTCCAGCGCAAAAATCAGATGCTGTATGGTTGAAAATCAGGCAAACCGAGCTCGAACCTTACTTCCAACGCACACACACTTGTAGCTTTTATGTTTGGGTTCTTGCTTGGCGGACAGTGGAATAATATCTTAAAATGGATGTTCCATCCTACGCATTGCGTGGCCCCGGGAGCGTGTTGCTTCCAATTTAATTCAAGACAAATTGTCGCTCCAACCCAAGCTTTTTCACATCCATTCTGTTAGATTTGGAAATCACTTATTTTACTTAATTTTTTTCACTTGGGTACATTTGCCTGCACCTTATACGGTACTTTGCCCCACTGGCTCAGGTCAAATTTATCTTTAGAAAATCTTCAGAGGGTACACCCTCTATAGGGGTATGGTATTAAGAGACCCTCCCGCCTGGGGCGCGTTTGTTTCGTAGGTAGAAGCTAGATTGGAAGAAGATAAATGGTAAATCATTAAAATCGGGGCCTTTTTTCGAAATTTGTCGCAGCCCGGCCAAGTTTATGAAGGTGGGACGTGGTTTCCAACTGAGCCATAGTTTGTTTCATTCGAAAATTTGAGTTCTCCAAACGGTTATTAACCGAGCTATTGTGATTTGTGAAGAAGCACCCATTAGCGGATGATTCCTACCAAGCTTAAGTTGTTTACATTTTTAGACTACACATAATTTATATTATGTAGTTTACATGATTATTATTATTAATAGATTAGGATTTTTGATGGGGTTTCTTATCTGCGAACGGGATAACCTCCACTGAAAAGGTCGACTTTATGATTCCTATTTGTACAGAGTCAGGGCTCGTATTTCATTTTCTTATATTTTTTCAACGTTATCAGTGCCTAAATTTAGATTGTTAATAAACAAACAGATTGAGGGACAACTTTCGGTGGTGTCAAATGCAGCAGATTTTCTGGCAATTGATCAGACCATTGCGCTTTGAATGGATTCAAAATTTGCACCGGGTCCGACTTGATTGATTTCTTGCAGGTTGAACAGATCTAACAAATGCAGTTTTTTCGCCCGAACAAATTGACATTCTACGAGGGACAATTGTCACTAGAGATGAGCTAAAGCGTGATGTTGAAAGTACCGTTATAAATGTGAATGTGATTTTTTTGTGTGTTTAACTTGTGAATGTGGCTTCACTTCAATTGTGCGTCACTTAAACACATCACATTATCATCAATCATCAATTAAACACACTTTAACATTTGTAATTAATATTTTTTAAATAAAAAACTATCAAGGTATGCAACAAATAATATTTTCCATTTAAAGTACAAATGATTTTAAGGACACTAAAAAACAACAGCCTCTGCAACTAGCAACTGGCTACACATTTTGTGAACCCTTGTACCCTAAACGTCCTAAAAACATTCCGAAAAAAAATTGAAATAGGAACAAAAAGCTATTGTTTTGCACCAAACGAATAGCGTGGTATGTAGCTCTTAGTTCTTTGTGAACAAACTATATTTGATCGGAAAAAAGACTTTATTTGAGTGAAAATAGGTACAAAAATACTACTTCGCTACTCTTCGCAAAAATGTTGCATTGCATGTGCCGTTTAAAATTCGACGTACTGATTTTGTAAGATCATTTTGCTTTGCATAAACTGCATTTTGCAAAATTATCATCTAATGCAGAAAAGAAATGCCATAAAAAATAATTTTCCGTCGCTTAGTACAAAACGTAATAAACAATTTCAATTCGAAAAAATGAACAACAGAAACAGAAAATTTATTAAGAAAAATTATTTTAATCGTTGCGCATGCACATGTGCAACATACAGGGTGATTCAAAATTGGCGTCATTCCTCTAGAGGTGTTGTCTGGCGTTGTTTTAGGCGTACAGAAAAAATAGTTTAAAAAATTAATTGTTATTGAAAACTGAGAAGTTTGCAAAAAAAGGCAACAATGTTTTTCAAGGTAATCTGCCTAATTAACATTACGTAAATATCTGTTGCTTCGTAATTTTTTAAAACTCCGGTAACCATGGAATTATACAGAAAGTGACAATAACATAAACAAGGATAAAATGTCATCATTGAATGACGGAACCTATTTTGAAATGTCAATTATTGCCTTCATAACCTCGAATTATTAATTTGTTTACAAATTACAGAAACATATATTTGGGACTGTAACTCCAAACAAGTGCCTGTGTAATATTATATATATGTAATATTGTACCTTATTGCACTCTTCTCGAGAAGCTTCTCGTATTCGGTTAATTAACTCCTGCTCAATTTATACCGGTGTACAGTAATGCATTGGTTTAATGTGATCTTACATACGTGGTAGGAATGTAGCCGGTATTTATTTGGTGTCTGGGAAAGTGTTAGTTGTTGTGCAATGTTCTGAGTGCCCATGAAAGGCTCTTCTGCAATGATCTCCAATACTTGTTCCTCTGTGTCTGAAACCCGAACATCTATTGTCGTTCACTATCTTCCTGGAACCACTTTCCTCGCTTTTTGTTGGCGTGAGTTCTTGCAGCTTCTGCTATGTTACTGTAGCATTTCCCATGAACTAATCACATATATATCCACAAATTCGTGAAAGGAAATTCAAAGTAAATCACAGTTTGACAAATTATTGTTATTATTGACAAGGGATTTCCACCTGTAACTATCTGTTAATGACAAAAACATTTCTGCCGCTTCAACTTTTCATAAAAAAATTGTTGAAGGAAACTTTTTTAATATAAACATTTTTCGTAATTTGAAGCAAAGATCGCAATTTTTCTTTTTGAATTTTTGAACCCCTTAATAGAAATGACGCCAATTTTGAATCACCCTGTATGATCACTACACGCAACTCGCATTAGCAGTGAAAAAATAAGTCGCTCTTTAATATCACGTTTGGGTCAATCGCGTTTTAGATCACAGTTTATTTTTACGTTCGTCACAGTTTGTGATTGCTATTTATTTAGCTGTGAAAAAATCACAGTTAGTGATTTGTTTTCAACTCTATTCGCGACCGTTCGATGGTTGCATTTTTTGTTTATTTTTTCTAAAGGAACCTGAAACAGTGGCACCATTAAGCACCATCACGAAAGGCGTTTGTTGACAATGTTTCGCACAAATGCGAATGGTTGCGAGATACTTAAAAATTCCCCTCATTGCTGCTTTTCGCAGAATAAGACCGCATGCATGCATTAATTGGCTCGAGTTGTATTCATTCCGGCAAGTGGCGCTTAAAGCAATTTGTAAGCGTGATTAATTCAATGCTATTCAATCGTTGGCAATACAATTTTAAAATTGCCAGGCTTGCCCCTCATGGGACTGGTAGCTGTGGTGTGGTTTGTTCAGCGATTCAGAGATCAGCAGCTACTGTGTGATCGCACTGTAATTTGTCGAGTTTTAAAATCGAAAGTGTAATGAGCTGCTGAGATATTACAATCAGCGAGCCCGTACATTAATGGCTTTCTCTTTTATATGCTCGATTTCACGTTTCACTGTTAAGCAGAAGATGAATTTTGGAAGACATCGGCTTCTTGGAGCAAACTGCAAGAAATACCTTGCTGACACGAAATTCCGGATAAAACAAACGAAAATGTTGAGATCGACTAAACAGTGTTTTTCAAGGTCTTGTGGCGTTGTTAATTCCAAATCAAAATTAATTCCTGGGTTTCAGTCATTTATTGTCTTTATTTATCAATTAAAATACGTTTCGGTGTATTTTTCCACCATCATCAGTTTTTCTAAAATAACATAGTTAAAAAAAAAAATTCATTAATTTAAAAAACAATCACAGTTCGTCAACAGCCTCATCATATCACACATTAAAATACATCACAATTGCAACACTTTAAAACATTCTAAAATTAATTAGGCCTAACAGGTGATTAGTCAGGACAATCAAATTTGGGAAGAGACTAGAATTCTTTGTTCAGATACTTAAATATTTTTACTTACACGTGTAGCGTTGTTGCTGCTTTAAGCCTTGGCATACATTTGGAGTATTAA